AAGAAGAAGAAGAAGAAGAAGAAGAAGAAGAAGAAGAAGAAGAAGAAGAAGAAGAAGAAGAAGAAGAAGAAGAAGAAGAAGAAGAAGAAGAAATTGCAAAGGAGCCAAGCAGAGCTTGCTGACTTCCCAGGGCAGAGCAGAATCAGAGCTAACCTCAGGTGGCCACATGGAGCCCAGGGAAGTGTCCTCTCCCCAGTCAGATGAAAGGCAGCCCATCCTCCAAGACCACAGGGGCAGTGCCATCCTCCCCAGTCATGACCCTTCCAGGAAGTGTCTATCTCAAGCCAGGCCAGTCTCTAGTCCACTGTCGCTCCTTCATGAAGATTCCCCCACCCCATCTCCCACTCAGAGCCTGTTTTTAAAGCACCCAGAAAGATACAGTGAATATTGCCCAAGTCTAAATTGAATTGGCTTCTCCCAGCCCCTACTGCACACCCCAACCTGCAGTACTCTGGGCCAGGTAGGAGGCACAGATAATTCCTGGCTCTCAGAGAGGCCAGATGACCTAGTTTCTTATGTACATGTGTGGTCACCCAGACGTCATTATGATGTCACCCGGTGAGTTTATTTCTGTCTTTGTCAGCCCAATTTCCATAACTCATAACTTGCAGCCAATTTGCTGGCTCCCCTGGGGCTCCCAGCCCATCTGCTCCTCCCTGTCCTGGCTGCCTGGGCCCCCTGCAAGGTCTTTTCTGTAACAGGAATGTTCCAGTCAAAGCCTGGGGAGTGGAGCAGCTGACAGATGGACAGATGGGGTGCACAGGTCAGACACCTCATCGCCCTTGGCTGAGAGGTGTCAGGGCCTGGGGAGGAAGTAGAGTTGCAGTATGGAAATGGATTAATCTTGAATGAAGGTGAAAATTATGAATAGGAGGCAGGGTATGAGCTATAAAAGAATGAGCTATGAGCGCAGCTAGATATATTTGTGGGGTGGGAACCGTGGATGCCAAGGGCTGCCGAGGAAGGGGCACAGCCCAGACAACTTGGTCCCCATCATCTGGACCCAGGTCTCTTGCTCACATCATGCTTCAAGCTGAAAGAGTGCCCTCCCTTCCTGTTGATGGGCACAGTGACACTGCCCCCCAAAGGCCTGACTGTCCACCGCAGGGGTCTGTGGGTTGGCACATGTGTGTACTCCATCTGCAAAGGAAGCAGATTGGCGTGGGGTCATGGGCACCCAGCAGTTCCGAGCAGGGAGGGACTCTGACCCCCTGGTCACCTAGGGCAGGAGACAGCTGGGCCTCCTCACCGTCAGGGGAAGTCAGAATTCCCAACATCTGTAACTTCCCTCCCCACTTARCCAGCAGGCTAAGTCTGGGACCTGTCTCTGTCCTTTTCCACAGAGACCTAGGAGAAGCCTCCTGTCCCTCCCCATGACAGTGGTTCAGTCCTCCCAGAGGGCCTGGCAGAGATGCCCTTGGGCCCTCCTGCTCTCCCAAGAGGGCAGTGGAGTGCTGACTGAGCCCCCAGACCCCATCACCCCAAGATGGCCCCACTTCATCAACTCTCTAGGCCTTACTTTAGGGGACTTGGTCCCCTCTCCCAATTTATCCACCTGGCCCCAACTCCAGAATTGAGAGTGGGGGATGAAACTAGCTTTCCCACCAGCTTTTGGCCAAGTCCCACCTTCAGGCCTGAAACAGGCCCGGCCCTAGCAGCTTGTCCCAGAAGCCTGCCTGTCTGTCTGTCTGTTCACAAAGATGTCTTGCTCCCACACACACTTTTCGGCCCTGGGCCTTTGATCCCTCACCCACTTGTCCCCCAGAGCCTGCCAGGATGTCTCTTGTGCCCAGTAGGCCTCCCTGACAACCATCCATCTGTCTGTCCCTGTGTTCAGCTGTATGTCCCTTCTCGCTGTGCCCCTCCTCCCCGCGTACACCGTTCACCCCACTGGAGAGACACCTCTCTAGGAAAAGTCAGGGTGGCTGCACCCAGCAACTAATCCAAATGGCAAATATTTTGTAACAAAATAGCCCAGAGGTATTTTATCTGTTCAATTCATAGAATTTTAGAGATTATATTGAAATATGTCACTTGAGCCAACTGTGTCTGTGGTTTCATTTGTTTTCACAGAGGGAGGACCCACCTCAAATCAGAGCATCTTCCTGGTTAGGGTCGGGTCAGAGGATGTACTGGTGCCCTCCACCCTTGATGCTTCCCCAATCTTTCACCTGAACCTGTTGCCCTTTCATTCAGGAAACGGGGCTGGCTAGACCAGACCCTGCCATGGGGTTTCAGCCTATGGGAGTTGATTTCAGGTGAAAAATCACCTGAGGTTAATGATCATATCTTGTCAGTGGGATGGGCTCCCTCCACCCAATGGGACTCTTGCTCTCCACTGCCTTCTTGGGGCGGCTGGGGGTGTCAGGCTGCTCTCCTCCACCGTGGCAGCCATTCCAGGATAAAGTATTTATGTGACATTGTTGGGAAGTCCTGGATGGGGAAAGTAAGGACTGGTCATCTAATGGGGGTGCACTAGGGCAGAGCTGGGGAGCAGGGCCAGGAGATTGCCTGTGGGTCCAGATCTGCCTCTTCCACCGCTGCTATCAACACACACACACACACACACACACACACACACACACACACACACACAGAGCCAGTTAAGAGACCAGGTAACAATGGAGACTGGAGGCAGTATTACAACGATCAGTGTGCACCGAGGCAGTGGGGGGATGGAGGCTAGGACCCTCCCAGGCTGCTTGGTTTTCTGCAACATAGAGCAAGGGTCCATTGGTGGGTGGAGGGAGCCCATCCCACTGACCAGATTGGATCATTAACCTCAGGTGATTTTCAGTTACCCAAGTGTAAAACCTAATGACAGGGTCCGGTTCGACAAGCCCCTGGAGTCTACTATTCCTGAAATGGAGGGGCAATAGGTTCCAGTGGAAAGACTGGGGGGAGCATTGTTGGGGAACATAATTGGAGCCACAGAGAGCAATTTGGCAAACATTTCCTGAGCCCTATCACGTGCCTGCCAGGTCTCCTGCTGGGAGCTGCCAGAGATGCCAAGATTCTGAGAAGGAGAAGACAATAGCCCGCCCGTGGCTGTAACACAGGGTGAGGGGACTCTGAAATGTGGGCTCCTGAGAGACACAAGGGCTTGGCTGAGTCAGAGCCACGTGCAGTGCTCAGCCCAGCTCTGCTCTTTGCTCCACGGTGAGGTTCTGTTTTCTCCTAACTGGGGACAGAAGAAAGAGCCCTGCTGAGTCACCGGAGGACCTCACTGAGGAAGCAGAACAATGGGTCAAGACGGTACCTGCAAAGCAGGCCCCAGCTCTCCTGGGGACCAGAACTCTGAATGCCCAGAAATCTAGACAAACCTAGTGCCCAACCCAGGGTCCCACTGTCCCCTGTAAAAGAGGACATGACCTCACACTTTTCCCAGGAAATAGGAAATTCCAGAAGCAGCAGAAGCCAGCTAGGACCTGTCCTATCCTGGGAATTCTATGACCCAGGAAGCTGAGGACTGACCCCTGGAGAATACCCCGGAGGGGACCTAGCTCAGCCCAGCCCTGGGAGAGGGCCTGCAGCCAAAAGAACCCCACTGTTCAGAGGCAGGCGGGCTACACGGGTCTAAYTTTCTGGCCCCTGAAGTCATCTAGGAGGAA